ACCATTCCCATTTTATTACGGTGTATCCATATAAATGGCCCACCCTGTACTTTAAATAATAATGGCATGGCTCTCTGTATGGCATTTCAAGCCAGTGGTTAACACTCAATTAGAAATTGCTGATGTGCATTCTGACGAGCGTCTGTGTGAATGAAGGAGTTGGGAAGAATATGTCATCTTTCTGTTAGATAACATGTAAATGCTCTATGAAATGGTTCCATGTATATTTTATTACAATGCAACGTGGCCCTGTAATATTTATGTACGACCACTTAGTTTTCTGTCCACCACTCTCAGCACCTTTTTGGAAAAGTTAAAGTTACAGAGGGTGACTCATAATTGAATCATAGTGCAACTGCCCCAATGCAGGGGGACATTTTAACGGGAAACAGCCTGCAGGGTTGACATGAAGAATGAGGACAGAGGAAGATGAAAACAGGTTGAAAAACATTTGGAGCACTCATTTGCCTCCTTCTGGAATCACCGTGTTATTGAGTGATATAGTGCTTTGCAGTTTTGTGTGTAGTATTAATTTGATTTGATGCATTTTAATTTAGTTTAATAGCTTAATAAGCATGATGTTCTTTCATTCAAATTTCATGTTAATATATCTTTATTCAGTCATTCTAAAAAAAAAATGTAACAATGACGACATTTTTCAACCTGGAGAGTCTGTCATGGCCTTCCGCCCCATGTCTCATAAAGCAGGAAAATGTTTTCTATACCTTATCTGGTAGAGAAAAAAAAACAGAATGAAACTGATTATGTTATTTGCACCCCAGATAGGAAATGTCAGACTGTGTTTGCAAGGTCTAGTGAAGCTACCACAGAGACTTTAGAAGAAATGTTGTGTGTAAACTTCACTCCCAGTATTGAGTGTCCCCTAGATGGTTCAGGTTTGAAAGTGTCACCTTTACTCATCCAGTAATGCGGTTTATAATTGTTTCAACATATTTCAATCATGTGTTGTCTGAACATGAAATAGTTAACCAAAAATGTAACTAAAAAACATGGAAATTGTGCATGCATGCTTGGGTCTTAGTGGTTCCAAACTTGTTAATCAACTTCATCTCCTCTGAGGGTGACAGTTTGGTTCTGTTTCCAGTCCGTGGCAGAGTGTAGACACATTCAAATAATTTGTACTTACCTACAACTGTCTTAGTTCATGATCTTGGAAGAGACGGAGTTTCTCTGGAGTTGGCCAAGCCTGATCTAGACTAATGTTTTGTAACATGATATTGATATTGGGCTGCTGGTAAGTACACCTGACAGCTTGTGTTTCTATTACACCAGACACTTTCCTCCAGTACAGCCGGAAAGCTTAGTTTGAGAATTTGCACACAGTGTTTCAATGCTTGCAAGACACTACAATTAAACCTTATAAAATACAGGTTTACCAATGCTGCCATGACTTTTCTAGGCATGTTCAATAAATTCATTCATTCATTCATTCATTTATTTGTTCATTTCCAGGCACAACAAATACCTATATTGAACATAAAATGCACAAAATGCTAAGTTTTCTTGTTCCTTCTAACTACTGTACCATGACCTATGTTGTTTTCTAGGTCTAGCTGGCTATTAAAGAGGGTTCTCCCATAACCTTTCTTCCATTGTGTCCCATAACAACAGTTTGGTTCGGGAACCAGAATATGAGCAGGATTTTTAAACTTTCCAAACACGAGTTTCAACTTTACATTCAACATGCAGATAATTTTTTTCACAAACTAATTAATTACCAGTTAGAAAAAAGGAAATATGTCATTATTTAGCTGAAAAAAATTTGTCAATGCGAACAACTATTTACCATTTGATAATAATGTTACACTCAAAAAAGTGAAATTGGGTGGTTGTTACATTTACAAGAGTCTAATATGTAATTTGAACAAAATATTTTTATATTTCTATGGTGAATGTAATAAAATCACCTACGATCTGCATGAAATTGAACAACCTAAAACTATTTAAATTTATTCTTGTTGAAATGATGTGTTGTTGAGTGTATTAAAAACTTTTATCCTTTTAGACATAAAAATATTTTCATAGCGCTCCATTGTAAAGATGAGGAATAAATAATTTACACTAAATTGTTTTAGGAATAACTTGAACTCTTGGGAAACCGAAGGAATGTTATCTATAAACAAACCATAATATCTACAGTTTCTAAAGTTTAAATTGAATAAAATATGGAAAAGCCTTCAGGTCATCCTGTTGCCTTGATTATTAACTCACTGACTAAAGCGTTTGTCATATTTTGTATTCAGTTAATATTACCAAATATGTGTAACAAATATGAATATCATATTTCTTGTGAAATTGATGCAACAATTACGTGACAAGTTAATTGGATGCATTTAGATTTAAAGAAGATATATATATTATTGTTAAAAGCATTAAATGTCATGTCAAATGTCAATCTTGTCATGTCTGTACAGTGTTATATTATTAGAGCTGGCATGGTTTGCAATCTCAAATTAGTGGGGCCTTTGTTAAACATTAAAGTTCATGACACTACTGATGGGTCTGTCTGGCACAGACCCACTGCTGGAACGAGACAATTCTACTACAACAGCAAAAAGCTTTGGACACCAAGCAGAGCTCTTTGTTTGATCTCGTGCACAAGGGAGAGAACTGTGATGAGCGCCGTTCCTTCCGCTTGAACCCCAGTCGCTCTCAGCCAGCTTCCTGCTCTTTATTGTGGTTACATGACTATGCAGAAGTTCATTAACACATGACGTCTTACACAGGCATACATGTGAACAAAGAGTACCTTGTCTGTGTGTACATATAGGCATGTGTGTGTGTGTGTGTGTGTGTGTGTGTGTGTGTGTGTGTGTGTGTGTGTGCGCCAAGATGTGACCCTGTGAATGACTCCCCAAAGTTGGTACCAGGAGTCCAGTGGTCCACCTAAACAAAAGGCACTTATACTTAAACAGATACAAAGTAGGTGTCCTCCAATAGTATAAATCAGTAAGAGAAGGTACAACCTCTCTCATGACCTTAAGCTGTGTGTGTATGCCAGAGTGCTCTGGGAGGCACACAGAGTCTACTTCCGCTCTAAGCATTCTACGATAGTTATGGGTCAGAGTATCTGTATCTGACCCACGTTAAACTCATGGACTGGACATACAAACACACACACACACACACACATACACCCACACACAATGGACAACTGTACCCTCAAACACACAATAATAACATGGACTGAACCACCACTCACAACCACTAGCACTTTATATAGCCTCTGTAGAAATTATCCACACCCTCACTTATCTTAACTGCACTACTGTATAGCTCTGTGTAAATAATCATTCTGTACATACGATAATTTTTAACCCTACAACTGTTTACAACTTGCATAGTTCCCATTTCTGTATAGCTGTATATCTCAGATTTCTGTAAAGTTATTTATTTCATATTCTGTATAGTTTTTCATATTTATATCCTGTTCATAGCCTGTACATAGCTTGTACTCACTACAGCCTGTACATACTTATAGTTATAGAATATTCACAACATACTTCATACCGTGTACATTATAACATACCATAATAGACCCATTTCTGTAATATACTCACATATCTATATTATTGCTAATATATATTGTAATATATCTATATCACTAAAGCACTTCTGGATGGATGCAAACTGCATTTCGTTGCCCTGTACCTGTGCATGTGCAATGACAATAAAGTTGAATTCTATTCTATTCTATTCTATTCTATTTAGATTTATAACATAATAAGTAACTTTAAAATGTTTGTGTGACCAAGTGGTCGGCGGGGTTAGATAAAAGGAAATAATAAAATGACAACGCCACCTAGGGGAATTTCACCCCCAGGAAATATATTTAAGAAAAATAGATAAAAGGAATAAAAGGAGGCCGCACAGATTCAAGGATGCACACTGAGGCAGGTTGGCTCCAATATTAAAACAGTTTTATTTATAGTAAAAATAAATAAAATATTAAAAACCAAGATGTGAGCGTCATTGTTGACAGTGTCCTAAAGTGAAAATAAAACAATCATGGAACTTGGACTTACCAGCAGCCGTGGAACCAAAAGAAAATCACACAAAAAGAAAATCACTGCAGCCCACCCGGTGCTGTACAAAAGAAAGTGTGAAAACGACCCACCACCTGAGGTCCCAGGGCCACTGGCACGTCCTCCGTTCACTGAAATAAAACAGAAAAATATGTTAAAAGAATAAAAGGACACTGAGCGTCAGGCTCGCTACAGATCATAAAAAACTAAAACACACTTTAATAAAAGAAATCACACACACGCACACACACACACACACGCAGGAAGGCTTATACCCCACGGGTCAAACTACCACTCGTGCTGGTAGTAATTATTCTCAATCGCAAGCCGGTCTGGCTCCCCACCGGCTGAGACCGGCAACCAAGGCGATTTAAAGTCCCAGCACCACACTCGGGCAGAGGGTCGCTTCAGCCCGATCACAGAAGCGTGGGTACAAGCAACAGTCCAGAATAAAACCAGGCAAACCAGAAAAAGGTAAGCCTACTTATTAAAAACACGATAAGATGAGACAAGACAAGGCAAGACAAGACGAGACAGCAGGCTCCACTGAGGAGGAGTCCTCACAACAGCGGCTGGGAAGGCGTTTCACTCTTCCGATTTAGGTTGGGCGATTTGCCACGGAGAGGTGAATACAGCAGTCAAACCCTAAAACAACAGATAAATGTAACCTTAGACTCTTATAGCTATGAATGCTAATAAAAGTAGTTTTAATGGCTTACCCCAGGACCGGAGGCACTATACTCTCACTGGTGGGGATAACACGAGCACCTCTCTCCGCAACGTCGGAGTAGAACAAACTGCCGCGCTACAACAGGCCGCAAAAACTATATTAACACAAATTCCAGTACTCGGAGGGAATCTGAGGTTAAGCGAGAGCATACCTGTAGCTGTCATATGATCTGCTCTTGTTGATCAGTCCGTCGCAGTGTGCCAGCATTTACTGCTGCTTTGCACCGAATGCACGGGAGGAATGATCCAACAAAAACACCGGCTTAGCTTTATACGGGCTAACGCCACCCTGCAATATGCAGGTGAGTTCCCAATTAACCTAGTTGCGCAGCGAAGAGAACGAGCGCAGGAGAGCGAGAGAAAAAAAAAAGAAAATCGAGTAGCCCATCTGGCTACATTTGTAATAATGAAACATTTCAATATAATGTAGACAAAAACGAAAAATAAAAAGATAGTTACGGATCAGGACTCCTCGATCCTTACTGCGCATGTGCAAAGTCGGACTATACAAATCGGGTCTACCCGATCCATACCGTGCATGTGCAGAGGTTCACTTCTTCTTCTGTTTCATTTAATGGCATTTTACTCCCGAGTGTACGAGTCCGCCACTTGCTGACCGAGCGAATGAGCCCTATTGTAAACTGAACCAAATTGTGTTTGTATATGCATGTTAAATTTGATTTAGTGATAGTTGAGCGTGTTTATGCTCGTCTGTGTGGAGAGAATTGTTGGAATAGGGATGACGATGTCCGCTATCACTGCCAATTATCAGTAAAAACTATTTTACAGCGCTGTTGTTCAATTGGAGGAAGCTCTCCGTTGAGGAGAAAAGCATGACTTTGTTTGTATACGGGGGTATCCATTGTTTAAATGTCCCAGGCAGTCGAAAAGGAGGCAGAGCAGTTGAGAAATGCTAGGAGCTAACTGGGCACTAACCGTGTCATTCAAATATATTACATGTCGCAATGTTAGCAAAGACAGGAAGTGATGTAAGATTTGCGTGGTACTGATCGGGTTTCCGGTACGGATCGGGTAGTGATACAAACCACAAAACTCTGAAACAATGTGCTTTGGACAGAAAAGAACAAATTGGAGATGTTTGACTATTATGCCCAACACTATGTTTGATATATTAGTTTGCATATGGCACAAAAGGCAAGGCAAGGCAAGTTTATTTGTATAGCACAATTCAACAACAAGGTGATTCAAAGTGCTT